TCTTGTGCAATCACGGGATGCAAGCTATCGAGCGGCATTCACAGCGGTTGTGACTCACAGTATTACTGATTATCAACCCCATTTCAATATAAATGCAACATCGTGGAGGATACCGCAAAATATTTCACTCGCTGACCCTAATTTCAATCAATCACAACGAATTGACCTTTTACTCGGCGCTGGGTTGTTTTTCGAAATAATTTCTATGGGACAAATTCATTTGGATAGGGCTTTGCCAACTCTTCAGAACACCAAGCTTGGTTGGATAGTCTCTGGAGGGTTATCATCGAACATGCCAACTCATAAGTCGGTTTTACAAGCCAGCATCAAGGACCCAGCTGATTATTCCGATGACACACTTTCCGCCATTGTAAAGCGATTTTGGGAAATTGAGGACTTCACTTCGTCTAAGCCATCTTTATTGCCGGAAGACTTGCGATGTGAGCAACTTTTTACTGAAAATTGCATTCGACTTGGAAACGGCCAATACTCTGTTCGTCTCTTGACCACTTCCGGATTCGAATCTTTAGGTGATTCTTATTGCTTGGCTCGTCGTCGTTTCAAGAGTTTGGAAGCTAAATTAGATAGAAACCCAGCCCTGAAAGCTCAGTATTCAGCATTTTTGAGGGAGTATATCGACCTAGGTCACATGTCTCTTGTAACTAAGGAACCGCCAGAAACACAATTCTTTTTGCCCCATCATTGCGTACATAAGCAGGAAAGCACGAGTACGAAGCTTCGTGTCGTTTTTGATGGATCTGCTAAAACAACTTCTGGTAGCTCTCTGAACGACTTACTTCTGGCAGGACCAACAATTCAACAAAAAATCTTCAATATACTGCTTCGCTTTCGATTTTTTAAAGTTGCCCTTTGTGGAGATATCTGCAAGATGTACCGTTGCGTGCGTGTTTCGTACCCGGATGATTTCTTGCAGTGCATCGTTTGGAGAGAGAGCTCCAGGAAAGAATTAAGTGTTTTTAAATTGAACACGGTGACTTACGGAACCAAGCCAGCTGCCTTCTTGGCTATAAGGGCCATGCATCAACTCTCTTACGATGAGGAGGAATCATTTCCTATTGGAGCAAAAATTGTTCGTAGAGATTTCTATGTGGATGATTTAATATCTGGTGGGGACTCAGTTGAGGAGGTGAGAGAAATTCGTCGTCAGGTGAAGGAATTACTGTCGCGAGGCCACTTTCCAATTCGCAAATGGTGTTCGAATGAGTCAGCAGCCCTGAAGGGAGAGTCTGAATGCGACAAGGAGCAGTTAATCAAATTTCACGATGGATCGGATGTCGCCAAGGCATTGGGACTAGTCTGGGATCCATCTTCTGATCAGCTCCTATTTCATTTTTCTCAACTGCCAATCAATCAACGACCCACTAAGCGGGTTGCATTGTCGACGATTGCCAAATTCTATGATCCACTCGGTTTAATAACTCCTATTATCACAAAATCTAAGATTTTTCTGCAATCTCTATGGAGTGCGAACGTGGATTGGGATGATGCACTGCCAGAGCCCATTCTTTCGTCATGGGGGGAGTTGACCTCACAGTTATCGGTCGTACAGAACTTAAAATTCCCACGATTCGTACTGCAACCAAGGGCTTCCGTTGAGTTGCATGGATTCTGCGATGCTAGCATGTCAGCTTATGGAGCGTGTCTATACTTGCGATCGGAGACCAATGGAGAATCGAAAGTCCATCTGCTCTGTGCCAAGTCAAGGGTAGCTCCATTGAAGGCCTTAACAATTCCAAGATTAGAACTTTCCGCAGCGCTTTTATTGGCTGAGCTAATCGTAAACGCCAAGGAAGCCATAGATTTCGATTGCACCTTTCATTGCTGGTCGGACTCGTCCATTGTGTTGGCGTGGATTCGGCAACCTCCGAGGGAGTTTAACGTTTTCGTATCAAACAGAATCGCGAAAATTCAGGAGATGACGAAAGACATGTCTTGGCATCACGTTCCTACAAACTTGAACCCGGCAGACGTCGTATCGCGAGGATGTACCCCAAGAGAATTGTTGGAACATTCCCTTTGGGCTAACGGGCCTCCATTCCTTCTGCAAAGCTCGTCAAATTGGCCGTCCCTGCTAGACTCAGTGAAGGATCTTCCAGAGCGCCGTTCTGTGGCTCTAATTGGGGCCGTTTGCATAGACAGTTCATCAAACTGCAAATTCCTCAACTCTTTCGATAAGTTGCAGCGCGTATTTGCATACATTTATCGATTCATTTCAAATTGCAGAGCCAAATCTGCGCCGTTAAAAGGTCGACTTTCGGTGGAGGAGATCAACTCTGGAACTGTACTTCTTCTGAGGAGCATCCAACAGGTTAACTTGGCGAAGGAGTATGGAGCTCTTAGCCAGGGCAAGCCGTTTCCACAGAAAAGCAAGCTGGTTTCGCTTAGACCTATACTCGGCTCCGATGGGTTACTTCGCGTGGGTGGAAGGCTTCAGAACGCAAACTTGGACTACGACACGAGGCATCCGATACTGTTGCCCAAGGATCATCCAGTCACCAAGGCGATCATCGTTTATTATCATGAGAAATATTTGCATGGAGGATCGCAGGCGCTGCTTGCCGCATTACGGCAAAGGTACTGGCCGATTGGAGGCCGCAAGTTCGTCGCCAGCGTTATCAACAAATGCGTCCGATGTTTCCGAATGAAGCCTGTTACTTGGGAGCACGTCATGGGTAGCCTTCCAGCAAATAGAGTGCAGCCTAATCCAGCTTTTCATACCACAGGAGTGGACTATTGTGGGCCATTCTATCATAAAGCAGAGGCCAGAAATAAGGCACCCCACAAGTGCTATATCGCCGTCTTTGTCTGTTTTTCTACGAAGGCTGCTCATTTGGAAGTGGTCCAGGATCTCACGACGGATTCTTTCATCGCAGCGCTGAGGAGATTCATCAGCCTTAGAGGCAGTCCGCGTACCATTTGGAGCGACAATGCTACAAACTTTGTCGGTGCAAAGAGAGAGCTTGCCGAGCTGAAAGAGCTCTTTTTGAGCGAGCAGCACACAGCATCGATATCTTCCGTCTGTTTAGCTGATGGGATCGATTGGAAGTTCATCCCTCCGCGTGCCCCGCACTTCGGTGGTTTATGGGAGGCCGCTGTGAAGTCAGCTAAATTTCACTTCTACAGAGTCGTCGGTGCATCCATCTTAGCCATCGATGAATTAAGAACTCTTGCATATGAGATTTCTGCCATCCTTAACTCCCGTCCACTCTGTCCAATTTCAGAAAATGCTGAAAGCCTTGAGGTGCTAACACCGGCGCATCTCCTGAAGGGTTCCAGCTACACTAAGTTTCCTGAGCCTGGCATTACTCATCTCCGCGAAGACCGCCTCAGCAGATGGCAGCGGGTTACCCAGATGCAGCAACATTTCTGGAAAAGGTGGAGCAGCGAGTATTTGTCCCTACTTCAAGAGAGGAGCAAGTGGCGCGTCGAAACGTCTAACATCAAGGTTGGACGCATAGTTTTGCTTAAGGAGGACAACGTTCCACCCTTGAGATGGCAGCTTGGGTGCATCCAAGAAGTCATACCCGGCGGGGACGGAGTCATCAGAGTAGCTATGGTCCGTACAGCTACGGGTCTGATCAAGAGAGCCGTCGCCAAGCTAGCCGTTCTGCCCATCGATTCCGAGATAGTTGGAACCTTACCTCTTCCAACGGGGGGAGTATGTTCGGAGCAGATCGCCAGCGGCTAGTCATGCGCGCATAGGTGTACGACGGCACCTGCATCGCTCTCTGCTTATCTTTCGCCTTCTTTCTTATACCCATAAAGCTGTCGCTTATCTATTCAGCAACTACTTTGTAAGCCTGCATATGTCTATATGAAGATCTTGGAGCCAAGCTTTTGACACATTCACAGTCCGTCTGCCGCTCCGAATAAACGCTATACATTTTAATATAACCTATTCGTGCGTTATTAATTATAAATATAAGGGTGGCATATTTGTTGTCTTCCCCATAAACAGGCCCTTTATAGTCTTTAAAGGCGATACAGTTTCCTAATATAATATCAAAAACTTGTTAGTCAAATTTGCTAATATTAATGTGAAACTGAAATGTTTAAATATGAGCTATGTTCTCACTTTGATGAAAACAGTCTCATTTAAACCCACTCATTCTTTTTATTATATTTGCTAGCGGTTAAGTAAACTGAAAGAAATCTAGTTATTGTTGATCCTCTCTATAAATCATAACAGACTTGTAACATTTTGGTCTGAGTTCTACGTTTTTATTAGGTCTTTTCAACTTAACCGGTTAATGTTTTTGTTTATCTTAACATTAAAGATCTCTAATATTTAACCAGCTGAACTATTTTTATTTCATATCGCTTAAGACCTTTTCTTTGGTTTCTACTGGGATTATGTAGAGTTATCTGATTTCTACTATTGCTCACAAAATAAATGATTCACATCTAAGAATCTGCTGCCGCATCATAAATCAGCAATTGCACGCGCAATTTGCATAAATCGGGTTTTGAACTTACCGCTGGCATTAGCATGCGCGTTTGGCGCCTGCGCAGCTGCTGCTGCCCGTGTTGCTGTTGTTTTGCTGGCCAAAAGTGCAGCAGGTCGCCCACAAGTGGGCCAATGCAATTGGCGCCTTTGAAGCGGCGGCAAAAACCGCCAATTCGCCGAGCGAACGGGGGCGTAAGCCTCGTAAGCAGAGCAGCTGACCGCCGTAAGAGATCGACGTAGCAATGTCAACGCAGTCATGTCGGCAAATAAGGTAAGGTAGCGCCAAAAAGGGTAACCAAAACAGAACAGAAGAGAGCGGGAGAGTGGGAGAGTGGGAGAGCGAGAACCCGAGAAGCGCTTCCACAGGTCTGCTACGTAATATATTACGTATACGTAAGCAAGCGAGAGACTGCGAGAGAGAGAGAGAGCGGGGTGGAATCGGATTCAGAATCCCAATCAGCTGATGTGACTGCCGTGAGCTTTGCTTTTTCGCCTGCACTTTTTAGTTATTCTCTAATTCTCAAGTGACTCACAACGCTTCTCTTATTTTCTCGGGGAGATTTACTCGCGCGCGGGATTAATTGCCCAGATAAAAAAGAAAAAACCAAAACACTGGCGGCCAGTCAACTAACCAAATCACTACTACGTAATGTATTTAAATCAACTAACAATTAGACACGCAATTTACGTAATTAGCACAACAAACAAAACAACAGCAACAACAACAACAGCCACTAGCGCCAATTGGCACGCCAACTTCCAATCAGAGCTATGTTATAATAAAGCTATAGTATAGCTCTCTCCGGATCGGGCGTCTTTATCGTTCGAGGCGACAATCTGAACTGCCGTGAACTGGCATCGTTCGCAGCTATCGCTTTTCCACACAAGGTGCCCCATCGGGAGGAAAAGCGAAATCGGAATTTAAATATATAACAATTCGGTTCAAAGCTGCCGCGAAAGATGCGTATCTAAAGGTTTATAAAAAGGGGAAAGTGGTTTTTTTTATAAGACAAAAGATTCATAATTTAATTTCTATAAATCAGTTTTTTATTTACAAAATTTGTGTATTTAAAAGCATCAACAATTGGTTTGTTGGGACTGCTTTTCCTTTGATTTTCTCTTTTGCGAAAAGCTGCAGAAACGCGGGTGGGTGTCTTGGATGACGTAGTGGCCCTAAGCCTAGACAAACACCCACGCAATTTTTGAAGTTTTTTTTAAATTCCTATACTGTTACTAAAGTAAGATTACTAATGCTATCAGCTCAAATATTTTATTGATTCATCATTTAAAATACTTTTCAATGATCAACATTTCTAACGAAACTAAACAACAGATTTTATTATACAATTTCCAAATGTATCCAATATATTTATGGTCATAAAAAAAGTTGAAGACATGTCCGTCGTAAAAATTCCAAGGCAAAGTAAATCAAACGTTTTTCTTGTGAATAAATACTTTTGATTAATGATCCAGTTTTAAACCAACCTGATTAAGACGTAAAAAGCATTTTAAGGCTTAAAATGTTCTAAAAATTATTATTAAATATTTATACAATAATGTCAGACTCAAAATTATTTGTCAAACTTTGAATGCTAAACACAATGGAATTTTCACGACTTAAGTAAATCAAAAAGCAAATATTTTGTAGGGAATGAGTAAAAAAAAGGCATACTAAATAAGTCATTGGCTTCTTTTAGGCACCTTTCCATTTCTTAGTAGGTGTTTTTTATTAACTAGCAAAGTAAATATTTACTTTTCGATATGAGTAAACAATCGACCAAAATGTAAATGTGTTATCTCATATTGAATCGGAGCTGTTGTTGCCCTGCTGCCTGTTTTGTTTGCTTTAGAATACAACTTGTCACTTAATATGGTTATTTGTTTGGTGTTTGTACGTGTGTTTGTATTTTATTTCACCTGCCGTGCAATTAACGAATAATTTAAGTCATATTTATATTTATACATGCAAGCAACTGCCCCTATTTAGCACATGGGCGCCGATTACCTTTGACAGCGGCCCACGCACCCCCATTCCATAGAGGTACAAACTCATTTTCCTATACAGGTGCTCCGATCAATAACGATCCGTCGTCACTAATCTATAGAGCGCTATCAAAAGCCTGCACAAGTTCTTAATTGGCTGTTACAGCGGCTTGACGATTTTGGGCGAAGCCAAGTCAACTTGTCGCCGAAAGCAAACAAACGATATCAGCTAACACTTACTAGCACACATGTATGTCATCATCACCGCCATCATCATCGTCATTATGACTCAGTGGATCGTCATGCTTGGTGGTGGATTTTACACCCGAAAAATTTAATTCAGTTCTGGGAGTTTATTAAAAAAATGTGTAGATTAAGTTAACCGAATAATATGAAACATTGTTGATTGTCTACTTTTCTGGTACTTGAAAATATCTTTCTTATAAAATAGGGTTTCAAATCTTGCTTTAATAGTTTTCAATAAAAACTTATCATTGAATAACTAATATATATTATTTATTTAAAAAAAAATATATTTTATGGTTTCCATTGAAATCCTATTAATTATTATTTTTTATAACATTCAAGTTTCATAAAAAATTTTTTACATCAGTTTTATGGTATCATGTCTGAAATATATATGATGAATTTTTATTTTTATAAAAAAATCATAAAACAAATACCGATATTTTATAGAGTATCGAGGAAGTTATTGTATATATTTTCGCAAATGAGTTAAAATCCTAAGATCGAATATAAATCCAAGTTGTCTAGACTGGGAGTTGTCTAATTTGGCAATAAAGACCACAAAACAAAGATAAGATAATTTTTCTAATATCACAAAAGAGGCAATTGTATGTAAATTGGGTTGATCCCTACTAATTTAATATTAAGTGGAAAATTATGATGTTTTTTCGCTGTGCCATCATTAATTTTTGGTGCCCCCTGTGGCGGCGCCTCTGGGCGAAATGTTGTCACTGGGGCTCGAAGATTCTCGCTGGGCTTTCGCCCGGCACGTCGCTTCACCCAAAACCATCCCATACCCAATCCCCGAGATCCCACAGTGCGCATTCCGCTGCAGACCGCCGGCCGAGGCAGTCGATTCATTAATAATCTCCAACGGAATTTGAATTGGTAGTGGGAAATCGGTGAATCTCGCCAAAATAAACAAGCTACCAACTAGCCGCTAACTGTTTTAGAGTTCCAAACCCAGTCGCGTCCGCTAATTGCTTTGTTTTCATTCTGGTTTTTCTGTGCAGTCGAAAAGCAAGCCTGAAACCAAAGTCAAAACCATTCCAAAACCGAAAAAGTTTTTATCGCGAGTTTTGACCTCGACGTGAAAGTTTCCACCGCTGCGTGCACGTAAGTACGAAAATCATTTTTGGCATTAAGCTTCTCTCTGTTTCGGTTTCGGTTGGCAATCAGAATAATTTTCGCTTAATTGCAGTTGATATATATATAGCATATATGGCGAATGTGAAGATTGTGGAGTCCAAGCTGGACATATTTCAGGCCCCACAGACCCATGCCTTGGCCCATGCCGTGGAGTCATCCTTTGTGGCGGAACGAGGATCCCTGGCCTGGCAATTTGCCCTGATCTATGGAGATGTGGATGAGCTCAGGCAGAGGCGAGTGGCCAGGGGAAACTGCGCCGTTCTGGAGCATAACTCCCGATTCATATACTATCTGGTCACCAAGTCGAATCTCTATGAGGCCAGCACTTACGACGACGTCCAGGCCGCTTTGATCTGTATGCGGGAACATATGGTGAGTTTTTTGTGGTTAGTAAATAAGGTCTTCGAGATGGGGTGGGGGTTTCCCCGAAAAAAAAACAAGTGACATTTCCCCCAAAGAGTAACCGCACTTCGACGCTTGGGAAACTGGTTTCTTGGCCACTGCCTTTGTCAATTTACAGTTAATTTATTTGTACATTGGGATACAGTAAATATCTCAAAACAGTTTCCCCTTTTTGTGGCCAGAATTTTAAACATTTTATTTGTATTAAAATGTTGTCTCATAAAATGATTCAGGGAAATTAGCATACAGTTAATTTATTTGAACTTTGGGGTACAGTAGCTATCGGTTAAGCGGTGTTCCCATCTTAAATGTAATTTTGTTCAGAAATATATTTCTTTTGATTGATGGTAATTGGCAAAGGAGAAAGTAAAGTCAGTTTATTGAGCTAAACTAAGCTTTTTTTAATGTTTTAGCTTGTAGTTATTAGAACAAAGTTTTTTTTACTGTAAGTTGTTATTGATTCTTGATAAGGGACCACAATAAACAAATTCGATGTTTCTTTGTTTGCTTTCACATTTAATTGTTTTGAGAAATTATCTATTTTTCAAAAGATTATTTTTTTTTATTATATGTAAAAATCCAAACTGGTTTAAATTTTTCTAAAGAGGTAGCATTATTTTTAAAGCGGTTTAAAGTCAGCAATACCAGAAACACTTATAACCTAGTGTATCCCTTGTTCCTATATCAATCCTTATTTTTCAAGATTTGTTTTAACCAATACTCACTGTACTGTCATTCCAGCGCAACCACGAGATCACCAAAGTGGCCATGCCCCGAGTCTGCTGCGACAAAGACGGCCTCGAGTGGAGGCAAGTGAAGCGTCTGGTGCAGCAAACCTTCTCCCAGAGCGAGTACCCCATTGAGGTACTCATCTGTGAGCACGAAGACATGTCCAAGGAGGTTAGTCATCTATGATTTTTAAAAAGAACAATTAAAACCCATCCAGTTGATCCACAGCTGGCATCTCCTAAGTGTCAAATTACAGAGGCCAGGGGAAATCTATTCAGCGCCCCAGAGAATTACGCTTTGGTGCACTCTGTCAGTGCGGATTTCGCCATGTGTGCGGGACTAAATCTGCAGTTCCGCTGCAAATTTGGCCATGTGGATGAGCTGAAGCGTCAGAATAGGCACACCGGAAATGTGGCAGTCCTGGAGCAAGATGGTCGTTATATCTACAATCTGATAACCAAGGAGCGAAGCCATGAGAAGTGCACCTATACTGCTCTTTACTATGCCCTCCTAGCCATGCGGGAACATATGGTGAGGAAGAAAAGCCTGATGAATATTAGAGATCATCCCAAATCCCATTTAAATTTCCTTTTCCAGAGGGAGCATGGGGTAACCAAGTTAGCCATTCCCCGCCTGGGCTGCGGCATCGATCGTTTGGATTGGCTGCGCGTGCGCAGTCTTCTGGATCTGGTTTTCGCTGAGGACAACGTGGACATCATAGCCTTCTTCTACACTCCACCTCAAATGGTCAAAGACACGCTGAACATCGTTTGTCCCACCTGCAGGCACATGAAGACCATCCAGTTGCCATCGAGATCCGTCAGCGGTTCAAGGCAATCCCTTCATCGCGAAAAGACTCCATTCTAAATGATTTAAATCCAATGAGGAAACACTGTATATAGCACTCGAAACGGTTTTGCTTGGGACTTGTGGCACCGAATGCACCAAATACTTATATAGCTGTTAAGAACATACACCTAAGAGCTTTCAAGGCACGCAAAATTTATATATTTTTGGGGTATTTATATTATATTTACTGTATTAATAAACGAAATAAGCCCTCGAGAGGGTATTAACCAAAGATTGGAGTTTTAAATGATGAAACACTCTCAAGATTTTTGTGAGACTCCATAGTATATGTAATCTAGTTGTTGTGGTCTAACTCTCAGTTCCTCTAACAAATAATTTTAACAAAAATGTATTCTCCCAAACTTCTAGAACTACGCGGAGCATTTCGACGGGCTTTTGTGGTCGGAATGTCATCAAAACCTCAGTACAGTCTTAGCGAGGTGGACGGGGATCTCTTCTCCGCCCCCAAAACGTATTCCTTGGCCCATTGTGTGGGCGCTGATCTTGCTATGGGTGCTGGAATCGCCGTGCAGTTCAAGAAGGTCTACGGCAAGGTGGACGAGCTGCGGGCCCAGAACGCGAGCAGTGGAGAGGTGGCGGTGCTGAAGGATGACCAGCGGTACATATACTATCTGGTGACCAAGCCCCAAAGCTGGGGAAAGCCCACCTACGAATCTTTACAGGCATCTCTAGAGCAGATGCGCGAACATATGGTAATATTTCAATATGACATGTGATTAGATGTTTAGATCAATTATTTCACCTTTTTTTAGAAGAAAATATAAAGTTTTTTTCATAGGTTTATATAAAACTTTAACAAGTTATGGTATTTATTCTTACAGAATACTCAGAAAGATATTTCTATTTTTGTGTTCCCCTAAAGTTTTAAAAATATGATTATGATACATTCCAGTTCTTAACTAAGGACGAGCTTATAGTATTTGACCTCTTCTTAATCTTGATCTTAATGATTATCTTTTAATTTCTTATATTACAGCGCAAAAACAACGTGGATAAGCTGGCTATTCCAAAGATTGGCTGCGGAATCGATGGCTTGGAATGGGAAAAGGTCAGCGGAGTGCTGGAGTACGTTTTTGGCCAGGAACCGCTGGAGATTGTGGTCTACAACTTTGTGCCGCCACAGAGCAAATAATGGAATCCTTTTAGTTTAATTTGTGCTATTTACTTCTGAGCTACATAATTATAAACGACTAGTTCCACATTATCCGATTGGAAAACTTGGCATATTATTTCCTTAACCTTGGGCCACTTGAGGCCATCCAAACCGCATCCTATGCGGGGCATGGCCAACTTGGGGACTTGGTGGAAGATCTGGGGATTTCTTTATTTTAAACTAAACTTTATAGAGGGGAATAGGTCTACTTACCATATGCTGGCGCATGGCAACCAAGGAGCTATGAAGGAGTTCATATGTGGGCTTTCCCCAGCTGGACTTCTTGGTTACCAGGTAGTAGACATAACGCTGCTGATCCTGAAGGATGGCCACGCCACCGGGCTGGACATTCTGCTTCTCCAGGTTAAGCAACTGGCCAAATTTGTTGCTAAGGAATAGAAAAATATATCATTAAACAACCATTAATTCTTATTACCCTGTATTATATAGTATTACCGAAATTTTACAGCTATTCCTTTGCCCATACGCATGTCGGCAGCCACACAGTGGCACATGGAATAATCACTTCTGCAGCTGAACAAGTCGCCATTGACTTCTCTGTAGGTAAAACCTGACATTTTCAATTGTATTTAGCCTTATATATTTTTAACTTTTCCACAAAACAAACTTTTTTCAATTGTGCGCATTTCTTGTGTCTGCGTTTCCCCGCGAATGGCTGCCAGCTGGTGTTTGGCAACGCGTAAGTAGTCCACGAGTTGCGCATACGGTCACACTAGACGGCACCCAATCAGCTGATAACAAATGAGTTTTATTTTTAAATTTATTGCCACTTTTGTACGCAAAATGTTGGAGCTGTTGCAATTTGGGGGGAAGACTCTAACACACACATTAAGTATCTATGTGAAGACGAACACGGGCAAAACGCTGACGGTGAATCTGGAGCCCCAGTGGGATATAAAGAACGTAAAGGAACTGGTGGCCCCGCAATTGGGACTTCAGCCGGATGATCTAAAGATCATATTTGCCGGCAAGGAACTCAGCGATGCCACAACTATAGAGGTAAGAAGTTTCCTAAATATGTCCATTTAAACCTGCTAACAATTCCCATCTTCTAGTAGCAATGTGACCTGGGTCAGCAGAGCATTTTGCATGCCATCCGTTTGCGACCGCCTGTGCAGCGCCAGAAAATCCAATCGGCCACCTTGGAGGAGGAGGAACCTTCTCTGGGTGAAGAACCCTCCAAGCCCCTCAATGAAACATTGTTGGATTTGCAGCTGGAGAGTGAGGAGAGGCTTAACATCACCGATGAGGGTAGGCAACAAGTTGTTTTCTGTAGTAAACCCTTAGTAATCCTGCCTAATTCTCTCCAGAAAGAGTCCGTGCCAAGGCCCACTTCTTCGTCCACTGCGGCCAATGTGACAAGCTCTGCAATGGCAAACTCCGGGTGCGCTGCTCCCTGTGCAAAGGAGGCGCCTTTACTGTCCATCGAGATCCGGAGTGCTGGGATGATGTTTTGAAATCGCGCCGAATTCCCGGACACTGTGAAAGTCTGGAGGTGGCCTGCGTAGACAACGAGGCTGGGGATCCTCCTTTCTCCGAATTCTTCTTCAAGTGTGCGGAGCATGTTTCCGGAGGAGAGAAGGATTTCGCCGCTCCGCTAAACCTTATTAAAAACAATATCAAAGATGTGCCTTGTCTAGCCTGCACTGATGTCAGGTGATTATGCAATCAATAACGGTTTTGTGCTAGGGTTTAATATTTGTTTTTTTTTTTACTTTAAAATACCTCATCTATAATATGTATACTTACAATTGTAAATCATAGAATTCACGATCTATTTTGTTACGAATTCATAGAAAGATTTTATGTCTTTTGTCATCAATTCATAATTAGAACATCTCTAAAAATCTAAATCTTTGTGACTTTGAATACCTAGAATATTTGTATGTATATTGATCCTAAACTTATCTCCTTCCATTTCTTGCAGTGAAACCGTTTTGGTCTTCCCCTGCGCCTCGCAGCACGTCACCTGCATTGACTGCTTCCGCCACTATTGCCGATCCCGCTTGGGTGAGCGCCAGTTCATGCCCCATCCGGACTTCGGCTACACCCTGCCCTGTCCCGCCGGCTGCGAGCACTCTTTCATCGAGGAGATCCACCACTTCAAGCTGCTGACACGTGAGGAGTATGATCGCTACCAGCGGTTCGCCACCGAGGAATATGTCCTGCAAGCGGGTGGTGTACTCTGCCCACAACCAGGTTGTGGCATGGGCCTTTTGGTGGAGCCCGACTGCCGCAAGGTGACCTGCCAGAATGGCTGTGGCTACGTGTTCTGTCGCAACTGCCTGCAGGGCTACCACATCGGGGAGTGTTTGCCCGAGGGGACGGGCGCCAGTGCCCAGAACTCATGCGAATACACCGTGGATCCGAATGTGAGTTTGTTTTATGCCCCGCAAATCATTCCCGCTTGTGTAATCATGTGCTATTCCTAGCGAGCTGCCGAGGCGCGATGGGATGAGGCCAGCAATGTCACCATCAAAGTCAGCACCAAGCCCTGTCCAAAATGTCGAACACCCACGGAGCGAGATGGTGAGTTGGTTGGGGGGGATACCAAAGACGCAGTTTAACATATCCTAACACACTCCTTCTCCTCCTTCCAGGCGGCTGCATGCACATGGTCTGCACACGCGCTGGCTGCGGATTCGAGTGGTGCTGGGTCTGTCAGACCGAGTGGACACGCGACTGCATGGGAGCCCATTGGTTCGGCTAGTCGTTCGTCGTTTATCGTCGGCCCGAAGTGCCCGTTTTGTTTGTTGACTACTTTTAAATTGTATACCATAGTAAAGACTGCTCGAGCAACACCCTGTTTGTCGTCTACGCAATCAATAGCAGAAACACCCCCGACAAGGACCGCGGAGCTCACATCCTACCCCACTCTGTTCCTTCGTTGCGTGCGCACAAAACTTTGTTTACGTTTTTCCCAAGCTCGCCCACAAATATTTTGAGGGCTTTCCTCTTTGGGCTGGCATGCGAAAACCGCAACAAACACGTGCACTTGGCCAAAGAGTCGGAGAGACGGAGAGAAAGTGCGGCGGATGCGCAGTGGGTGGCCAGCGGCACCAGGCTCATGTAACCAGGCGCGTAGCCGCAAGGGGACTCCCCAATAATTGATTAGGGGACGGCTAAGGTATTTCAAATATTCTGTTACAGAGTTCTTTGAATTTGCAACTTTAGTGATAGTTTTTCTTTTGAACAGGGAAACCCTTTAATCTAAGAATGCAACTTTGAAGCAAAGGATAACATTCTTGGGGAAACCTCAGGCATGTTTCTTAACTTTTTTCAACTAATGTTTGTAATTTTAGGATTTAAAAGTATTATCTTAGACTCGTAGAAAACCGTAAAAATAGTTACCTTATTTTGGGCAACATGAGTAGTTTTAAGTTAAGATGAGCTCAGATATAACGAAAAAGTTCTGTGCTTACATTTCCTAAGAAAAATCATGAGTATCTTAAGATATAACCACTGATTTCGTTCCAAGTCTTAAGCGAGCTGTGTTGAAAACCAGAACTTTCGAGCTGTCCAAGTGCGCCTGTGCTTTTGAAAGTTCACCTGGCTTATTATCAGTCCGCCTTGCGGCTTATCGGTCATCTAAAGTTGGGCTGGTCAAATGCCACAGGTTCACGGGAGGCCAATAGGCGGAAACAACCCTTGACGGTGGGAACTACGGGTACGCCAGAAAGCATGCTATGGTTTTTCGCATATTGGTGAAAATTTGTGGCCCGGACATCGATAAATCGAGCCTATACATATCTCATTCACACACACCGAACGTGGGAAACCCCCAAGCGGGACTCTGGCGGAAAATTCGCTGCGCACTCACGGCTTTCTCTGGCTTTCTCTCCCTCTCTCAGGGAATTTCCCATCTCTCGCCCATTTAGAAGTAACACCACGTTCTAGATTCCTTTTGGTTTGCCGCTCTGTTTTGGTTGGCTTTCTGTTTTGTGCTCTAATTCGTAAGCAAAGCGAATAGTTTCGCCTGCCATTTCCCAGAGAGCGGAAAATATAGAGAGAGAGCGAAATGCAGCGCATTTTCCGCCCTCGAATGGCCAAAAGGAAAAGCTCGCTCGCGCATGTGGGCAGGTTGCCCATCGAATCGGGTCACAAAGTTCCCAGTGCAGCAGCTTCGGTGTGCTGTGTGTGTTCACTATTTTTTCTATTTATTTTTTCCCGTCTGCTCCTTGCTGGTGGTGCTTGTGTCTTTTGCCAGCTTTTCTTCTTCTGCTTGGGGGCCTTCGGTGTATAAATGGCAGCGCGCCCGCGTATCGCATTTCAGTCTACGTTGGACTTTAGCGCGCGCCGCACACGCTGCGTATACGTAACGCGTACTAAGATACGGCGGATACTCCGCACCGAACCGCACCGAGGAGGCCTCCGTCCAAGTGACGCCGCCGTGCTCCGCCGATCATTCTGGCGTTCTGGGCCGGCCGCTCTTCGATTTTTCCGCTCGAGCCTCGAAGAGAAAATCGGTGAAAAGTCGTTGGAAAAGTGCCTCTCATACTCGTGAACCACACCATTGTGAACTGTCTTGCGTGGGCACTAGAAATTCAAATTTAACGGCTTTTCGTGGTGGCGAGTGCTTTCGAAATCAAAGGCGAGGTTTTTAATCGAATCAAATTAGTGAAAATTTAATAATCAACGGGAAAAGTTAAAGGAAATTTAAAAGAAGACATTTTAACTAGAGTAATATTTGATAAAGAGATAAAATACATTAAAGTATATAGAAATTTGTCGTCAATATTAAAGTGTAAAAGTGAATAAATTTTAAAAACAATCTTGGAAATTAGGTAATTCATCTATATATTTAAGAAGAAAAAAAATGTAATTACATTCATGGTGTCCTTACATTTTGTTACTTTTGTATCAATCTTAGATTTATACCATAATTAAAAATTTTAGTTTATACAAAATTTAAGTAAAAAAATACAAAGTTGTATAATTTTTTAGAATATGTCTACTCCTTTTTTTATTATTTAATTTTATTATTATAAATGTATTTCTTAAACCTTACTCCTCTATAAAACCCTTTTAAACGTTTATAGTTTATATTAACTATTTCAAAATATCTGTTAAATTCACAAATACCCTCATGGACTTCTGCAACAGAATCGTTTGTTTCACCTTTCAAGTGCCCCCACGCACTTGAAGTACTGCCCTATTTATTTATTGGAAATGCTCCTTCGAGCAGAGACTCAATTAAAATCGCTATATTCCGCTGCATACATTCGGGCGCTTCGCTCGGGCCACATTGCACATACGCAGCGTGTGACGCGCGCGGGTCCGTGTAATGATTGTGTACACCAGCAGCTCCTGCTCCTGCTCCGCCGCCGCTCCTCGCTGGTTACTTCTGCTGCTGGACGCAGAAGAGGAAAACAAATGGAAATGGGGGGAAAAAAGTACAGAAACAGTGCAAGAGCTGAGGCGAAAACCCGTCTCGGGCTGCTGTTTTTATTGATTTATATATACACGGTGGCGGCGAGTGGGAGGCTGAGGCTGTTCTGTTGCTGCCTTGCTGCTGTTGTGTCGCACTGTCCCAAAAAGAGGCACCACCAACTCACAC